CTCAGCAGTGACCCCAGCCCAGGCACAGCGCCTGGGCCGCTCCACTGACCACCCCAGCAGAGATGGGGGCCGGTCACCACTGCGCTGGGGGCTGTGCCTGGGACAGGAATGTAAGTGAGCTGTTCTTCATTAAGCGGGTGAAAGCTCCTGAGCTTCTGCCTGAGCTGAGTCTGGTGGCCTCCGGGGAGCTCAGGAATGCTTTTGCTCAGTTGTACTCTCCAGCTGCCAAAGGGTGCGAGATGAGATGACTCTCCTCTCTTTGCATCCCTTCCCTGCCTGCATCTTGAGCATGCAAACACAGTAGCTGTCTCTGTGTGCTGACAAGGAGGGGGGAGTTTTTATTTTTCCATCATGGCCACAGGTGCAAGTCCGGGTCAGGGAGGAATTTGCTTGCCCATACCAGGAAGTTTTGGTGTAGGTCTCCTCCTCTAGAGTGGCAACAAATGGGAAGGGCAGCTGGGGAAAATACTCAGCCAGGTACGTAAGAACTGGATTCCTGCTTAAGCCCCATATGCAATGGGCACCTCTGAACAGAGATGGCTGAGTTTGGGGCAGAGGACTGGGCAAATTCTCAGTGTCCATGAGTGACATTTGTGTTGTTCCTGTGCTAGAGGTTTAACTGAGATCCCCATTAAATCTTTCTCCAACACCTTCCTGCTTAAGTGGTGTATAATGTTAGTGACTATGCTGTAAATAATAATGATCATGCTAATAATCAAGAGGCCTGTTTATCAGGGTTGTGCTGTGGTTGTGCATGTACTTCTTAGGTGCATGTGGCTTTTGGTGTTGGTGTTGAACAGGACAGCAAGTCCTCTAGCAGTGGGCTGTGGCTGTAACGAGCATGGTTCATTAGGAGCAGCAGTCAATAGATCCTTTCTGCCAGAAACCAGTGAAAATGTGTTACAAAAATTCGAGCCTCCCAGCCATTTGGAAAAAGTTTCATGCTTCACTCTGTAATGTCAGCAGGCAGGGATGCAGTGTTCCCACACACTCCACTCCCCCTTGTAAGTGCACCCACCACCATATAGAGACCTCCCCGTGGGTCCAAAGCATCTGAAGCCCAGGAGCACTAGGCTGGGTTTTGATGCAGGGCAGGATGATGTGTAGTCTGCTCTGAGTGGTACCTCTTAAGGACAGAAGGCAGCCAACAGGAGCAAATTGTGGTTTTCCAGAAACAGTGTCTGGTATTTTGCTATTCCCTTTCCCTTCTGCAGGGAATGGCTGGAAATGGTTCCTGTTAGGGAGCTTCCTCTGGCTAGCCTGGAGTGGGGAGAAGACACTATGCCTCAGCACAGGGCATAGGACAGCCCATGCTCTGCTGTGGGTATTTTTTGCCTCCCAGGGCTTATGTATTAAGACATCAACAGTACAGTCATTTTGGCCTGGCTTGGTTCAAGAGGCTTTCCAGATGCTTGCCCTTCTTTCCCTGAGAAACAGTGGATCAGACTAGACAGGAAGCCATGGGGTGGCTCTGAGTTGAGCTCAGTCTCCTGCCTTGGCTGTAGGGTCAACATCCCTTTGAAGTGGCTACAGCCCATTGTGCCACCTCCAAGCTAGCCAGGCATCCTCAGCTTGACTAGCAGTATCATTCTTTTGTGTCATTTCTCTGTGCCAGTAAGCTTGGGACCTGTACTGGGAGGTGAACCTCTCCTGAGTTGTGAGGAGAAGGAAGAGCTGTGCAAGTCACCCACCTCCTGCTTCCCACTGTCTCTCATCTAGGGAGACCATGAGTAGGGCCTTCCTGCCCATGCCCTAAGCCCACAGGGATGCAGCGTGCTTTGCTCATGCCTTGTGCCCCTAGAGAGGCAGCTCTGCCTCTGCAGGTGGCCACCAGGCGTGTGGGAGTAAGTGGGAAGGGGCTGTGTGGCAGGCCAGAGCCTGACTGTGAGGGAGGAGGAACTCCAGCCTGAACTCCTTCCAGAGTCTTCAACACAAGTAGGGCTTATTTGGGGAAACACAGCATTGCTCCTTGCCAGCATCTCCTCAGTCAGGGAGGCACAGCAGTGCCAAATGCTGCCTGCCATGAGCCGGTCTGAGGTTATGAGAGGTTAATGAATGAGCTGGTGGGTGAGAATGGGAAGGAAGGTGCAGGAGCTCAGGAGATGCTGATGTGAGTGTCTGGTCTGGTGGCAGTGGGCAGCTGCAAGTTGAGGTGGATGAGCCAACTGGGAAGAGAAGGGAAGGGCTGCATGAGTGCTTCATGCCCCAGCTCTGCCTTACATTCTCCTCTTGGCACTGGGAAGGCCCCTTACCAGCTGCCCAGGGCTTGTCAAGAGTTTCTGTCAGAGACCTCTGCCCTTCAGTTTGTCAAAATTGGCTTGTTAGAAGAGGTTGCATCAGCCTTGTTGTTGAAGGAAACTTGTCTATAAAAAACCTAAGAGGATAGAGGAAAGTGATCCCTTCAAGGCATCCATGGAGTTACAACTGGGATATAAAGACCCAAATAAGATACCATTGCTGAGTCACAGATGAAGGAGTCCCATCACTTCTATCCTTTGTTGTATGACATCCCAAGCATATGTTCCCGCTTGAGGGGGAACGCATGAATGCCAGGGGGACTGAAGGGGGTCAGTTCCAGGTGCTTTTTCAGCCATGCGGAAAGTACTGGACTCGGGTTGGGATCTGGGCAGCTTTTAGTGCACATCAGTTGTCTGCAAGAGCACAGGCTCCCATCTATCCTTGCTGAAAGGGCTCTCCGCATTAGTCCCCAGGTCACTCTGGCTTGCTGGTAGCTTGCAGGGAGAAGAGGGATAAGGTGCTTGCAAAAGGGTAAAGGTGCTGAGAATGTGAACAGTCTAAGCTGCTGCAAACACCCATTGCATGGTGAGTCTTGGGGACTGGACACCTTGTACTGTTTTTCTGACTGAATCCTCACTGCCTTGTATCCTTTATTTGTTATTTGTTTTTATTAGGATTGCGCTAAGAAGCTGTGCCTCACTTATTTGTTAATGCAGAGGTAATGAGCTGTGCCCCTCCTGTGTTACTGCGGGGTTGCCAGCACCGATGTGAAACTTCCCTCCCCTTATTACTCTGTGGCAGCCCAGGGAGATACTCTGGCAGCACCTTATCCAGCCCTGGAGATGGGTGCCAGAAGGAATTCCTGGGACAGAACACAGCGTGTTTCACGGCCACAAGAGCAGCGTAGTCACTGCAGATGCCTCTGTTCTTCTTTTGGACCTTGAGTTTCCAGAATATCTTTTGAGGCAAAGGATGCACTTCAACTGCACTTCATATTGTTTCATTCTCTGGGAAGTAATTCCCAGCTTACTCAATTTCTTCTCTATCCCCTGTCTGTCATCCTCTTAGAGTAGAGGAGCTGTGATCTGTGCAAGCAGTTGAGTCTTCCAGCAAGGAATAAAACCCCAAGCATATGAGCAACAATGGGGCAAAAATGATCGTGTCCTGGGGAGCCACATGAGTCCTGAGGATGGTGCAGGGGGTTGTTTATGTTGCTCTTGGCAGTTAGGAGGGTGTAGAGCTTAGGATACTGATCCAGTGCTGTTCTTCTGGAAACAGAAAAAGCAGAGGGCCACTTTAATAAATAAGTGGCCATGGGGAACTTTAAATTCTTTGCTGGGAGAGTGTAAGGTCACTTTTGGTTGGCCTGGGCACCCAGTGACCAGCCTATCTGCTCAGTCACCTCCAAACCCCCCCAACTGAGGTGTGTGACGGTCTGGCACTACCATCTGCCACTGAGCTTCTTGTCTGTCCCCCCCGCTGGGCATCCTCAGGCATCCCTGGGCAGCAGTGGCATCATCTTCACCTTTCTCCCTCCTGGTGCTGCATCTGGGCTCCAGGAAGCAGCTGGTGTACAGAAAGAATCCTGTTTGCCTTGTTGGGGGCGTATATCTGCTTTTATTTTAATCCTGAGCCTTTTTCCCTTCTGTAGGAGGGGATGAGCTGGGTTCACTGGCATAGAAATTGCAAAAGATGCTGTTCAGAAACAGATTTCAGCTACTCTGACGCTTTCCTTCTGCTGCAGTGAGTTTCCTCATGGTCACTTGCTGGTCCCAGCACAGACTTGTCATCAGTGCCGGATGGCTGGAGACCCAGGGGTTAGGAGACTGGAAACCTCAGGAGCTTTAAACTGTATTCATATTTAGTCAAGAAATAACCCTTTTTCACTCTGGTGGTTGTACTAAATGTCACAAGTCATCTAAGTTTAGACTGTTACCACCTTGCTCCTATATATAACTGCTCAGGGCTCCTGACTTCATCCTGCCATGCAGCAGAGGTCATGCTGGGAGGTCTGCAGGAAGATGGGTACCCTAAGATGGACGGAACCTAAACATGGTCCCCGATTGCTGTCAGTACCATCAGTGGCAGTTAGGCAGCATTACTTGGCAGTGTTACCCTTGGCTTTGCTGGCTGCTTGGTGTGTGCCAGCAGAGGGGAGCTGGTTTGATCCTATGAGTGGGGCTGCAAGCTGAGGACTCCAAAGATCCCAGCACTTGTCAGACACATCTTTGGTATCACTGCTGAAGTGCCTGCCCAGCCACGTGGTGGTTGTGCTGTGTGATTTACCTTGGCTTTGAAATTGTCTCATTTTCAAGCATTCCTGGCTTGTGTTCTCAAGGCAGGATTAAGTATGAATTCGTCACTTAATCCTCTCAACATGCATAGGACAGGGGCTTCTCTGCCTCATTTATGTGTCATCTGGCCTTTCCTGGAGATAGGATTACCCTCACACTGGTCTTTTTCCACAAAAACAATGATGGCCCTTGTATGTAGAAGTGCATCCTAGACCTCTGACTCCTCCATGCTCTCTAGACACCTTCCTGTCCCGAGCTCGGAGGTCACAAAAATACCTTGTGAAGTCCCACACAGTGGGATAAAACCAGGGATGTAGGCAGCAGCTGGGAAAGGGATTCCTTTGGTTATTTGTTTCATCCTGCCTGGTGCAAAGACCTCCTCTGGGGTTGGAAAAGAGGCTCTCTGTGCAAAAGCAAGCCCCACTCATCTCATGGAGACATGACAGTTTGGTACCCCTTCCCTTGCAGAACGGGAGTCCCGGGAGCATGAGGAGCCAACCACATCGGAGATGACAGAGGAGACCTACCCGCCCAAGGCCTACCGGCCCAAGCACGGGCGCCTCTCTGAGCTCAAGGCTGAAGCCCTGAAGAAGGACCGCCGGAAGAAGTTGACCCTTGCCAAGTTCGTGGGCATGGCTGAGAACACGGCTCACCCTCGTGTGGTCATTCCCGAGCTCCGGCAGGAGTTTGAGCTGGTGGGTGCCTTCACCGTCGCTCCATGAGGCTCCCATGGGAAGGTGACTGTGGGAGGGCTTTTACTGCTGGGTAATGGGTACTAATAGGGGGGGACCTGGGGGCTTTTGCAGCTGGAAGGCTCTGTCAGGTGTTCCCCTTCTCACATTTGATCTCCCTCCGTGCAGGGCCCGTGCCGCAGGCACATGGAGGCATCCCTGCAGGAGCTGAAGAGCAGCCAGCGGATGGTCCCCCGTGCTGTCCACCTCCCCAACTGCGACCGCAAGGGCTTCTACAAGAGGAAGCAGGTAGGATGCTCCCCATCCAGGAAGGCTTTTCTTCTGCTGCCCCAAGTGGGAAGGATGGAGGTTTTTCCTTTGCTGGGTCAGATGGGGTGCTGCTGCAAGCATGTCCAGATACATTTGGTGGTGGGTGGCCTTGCTGATGGCTCCCAGTGCCCTCTGGCTTGAAGCAAGCACCCTGATGGAACTGGTGAGGGAGGGGAAAAGGTCAGAGAACCCTGGGCTAGGGTAGAAGCAGGGAAAGGGACATGCTGAAAACAGCAGGAGCTAGATGCTACCGTGGGGGATTGCATCCCTGATGTGAAAGGGGTGAGGCCTGATCCCCAGGGAGGGAGCCACAGCGTCTGGTGGCCAGCTACTGATCTCTGCCCTTGGGTGTCTCCCCAGTGCAAGCCCTCCCGGGGCCGGAAGCGTGGGTTGTGTTGGTGTGTGGACAAGTATGGCATGAAGCTGCCGGGGACTGACTTCCTGAGCGGAGACCTGCAGTGCCACGCGTTCGACAGCAGCAATGTGGAGTGAAGCCACATCCCCTCCCTCCGCCCCATCACTATCTACCCAGACTCCCTTCCGCCCTCCCCTCCGCACCTCCCCACGCCCCGGGACTCCGATTCCTTTCATCTCATGTAAGACGAAAAAAGAAAGGAAAAGAAAAAAAGAGAAAGGAAGGAAAATTAAAAAAAAAAAAACAGAAAGGAAAAGAAAGAAAGGAGAGAAGTAAGGAAAGGAAAAGTAAAAAAGAGAGAAAAGAAAAAAGAGCAAAGGAAAAGAGAAAAAAAAAAAAAGAAGAAAAGAGAAAAGAAAGAAGAGAAAAGGAAAAAAAGAGAAGAGAGAAAAATAAATGCTGAAGAAACTGAGGACTCGGAATCTACAACAGCCTTTTGACAACAAGGACTCAGCAAGGAAAGGATAGAGCCAGAGACAAATCAGCCATGGCCGCTCTGCCGTCCTGCACCTCTCCCCAACGCTGCCTACACCCCTCTGCCACAAGCAGAGGTCACCCTGATGCAGGAAGCTCTCCAAGTTGGTGATTTTCCAGTACGGGTTTTGGGCAGGTTCATTTTTATTTTTATATTTTTTTTGTGTTAGCTAGTTGATTTCTGAAGGGTCTTGAGAGAAAATCTTGTGGCCACGAGCATTCCCCTTGCAGTCCTCCAATGTGTCCTCCCCATGTTGCTGGGACTCACTTGAGTTGATTACCATCTCAAATGACTGCCCTCAATCCAAGCAGATTTCAGCAAGGGAGGAGACGTGGGACTGACACTCGCTTTGTGTCTGGAGATAAGATGGGGAGGGAAACACACAAATACCCCTGGAGAGCATCTGTGGACTTCAAAAAAAGTCATCACAAAAGGAAATACAGTATTCCCTGTCCAGTTCATCTTGATTGGAAGGTCAGAAATTTTCTTGGACAAACAGGATTCTGTTTGTGTGAAAGTGCTCATCACCTGCATGCACGTGTGTGTGCATTGATGTGGCTTTTCCTCCTTGCAGCACTTCACCTTGAAATCTGGAGGTTTCAATGTAATATGCAACTGGGGGATATGCTGCCCCTCACAAAAACAAATAACCTGCTGGATTTAGCACAGAAGCAGAGTTACGGAGGAGCATCGGTGCCTGTGGAATCGGGGCTCATCAACACTGAGGACTGCATCACTGTTCAGACTGAAGTATCCCTACATGGGGACAGGGGAATCCGGGCCAAAACTCTTCACCACCCTTTGCCACCACAAAGACGACCAACTATGGAGATTTTTTTTTTTTTTTCCTTTTTTTTTTCACAGCCAAAAATGTGGTTTGCTCCAGGGGAAAAAAACCCCAAACCTCCACTTGTTTTATCGTGGTTTTTTGTTAAGGCTGGTTTATAGCTTTCCCTGTGGGTAGGGAAACACCAGTCTCCATCCTTTTGCATTGAGGATACTGCTCATGTTGCCATGGCTGATTCCCACCACACTGCAGTAAGATCCTGTGATGGGTCCTTGCCTTCATCCTGGGATCCAGCTCCTTGTTGAGTGACAGCAACCACTGCACCATGGAGACCCACTGCCTTGGGCATGCTGGGACAGCCCTCGGCTGCCTTCCTGACTCATTTGTTGTTTTCAACGTTTGCATTTGATTTTGGGACTCTTGCCTCTTGTTTATCCATGACAAGGGTCTCCACGATTTTGGTGCTGGGAGGAGATCCTGCAGCGAACGGAAGGAAGGAAAGGGAACTGTGGGGTCTGGGTGCTATGGTGGGGAAACACCCATTGGGAACTACATCCTACTGCCACAGCTGGAGCAAGCAGCCAGCACTGGCCAAAGGACACAGCTGATCTCAGGTGGAAGGTTCCTGAACTCCCAAATCCTTTTAAGCTTCCTGGACCTGGGCAGAGAAAAATGGAGGTCCACAGCACCACTGGGGCCCCCACCAGAGGGGATGGGACAAGGGGGATTCAACACTAAGGGGTTCTGATGAAGGCTTCTTGCCATCACAGGTTGGGAGCCTTCATATCCTCCCATAAGATGACATTACTCCCTTAAGCCCTGTGGGCCCCCCACCAGGACGTTATCCTGATGGAGGGCAGGACTGGACACCTGCAGTTATTTCCCTCCAAGTGACAGCTGGGGGCAAGTTTTGCCTATGGACGTCCATGGAGACCCAGCAGAACACATTTCAGCCTGGGGACAAAGCACTTTCCCATGCTTTGGAAGGAAGTGTGCCACCAAATGTAGATCTGCCCCCAAAAAAGCCTGTTGGAGTGGGGTAACTGTGTTGTTGGAGGGGAGCATGGTGGGGGCTGAGAGAGGGACCCTGGCTCTGCAGAGCTGATGGAGCAGGGTTGGTTTAACCAGAGTGGTGGGTTAATGCTGGGATGCAAGTCGAGTGAAGAATGGGGTGAAGACAGCAGGAGAAGGAAGAGCTTGTGCTAACCCCAAGGGCCATTGGACACCATTGTTGACACTGTCCTCTTGCTGATCCCTTTGCAAAACCTCCTGACTGTCATAGGCCAGTATCACCTTTCCCAGGACCCTTCCTTCCTTCTCTCTTCCCCTTCCTTGCTTTTTTTTTATTTTATTTTGTTTCTTTGTTTTGTTGTTTGATTTCCCAAAACTTGAAAGCCTTTGGCTGCAGAGAAAGGAGACATGCCTATGGGGTGGGATGGGAGAAGGCAGAGGGCAGGAGATCCCTAGAGACCTTGCCTTTTGGGGAGGATACTTTTGCAGGGTGAGGGTTAGCTCACAGGGCCCTGTGGTGGTGTCTCAATGAAGCCACCACAGACACCGGGGACACAGGGCAATGCTCCGTCCTCTCCCTACAAAGCAAGTCTACATGGCCCTGGGATCCCAGAGTACCAAAATCCATCCCACATAGCCTCCCTCACAGCTGCATACCCCATACTGGGATTGGCATTGCCTGTCCTGTCCCCATGAACCTTGGGGGTGAGGATGATGGACATTTAGGTTGCACCACCCTCACCCCCCAGATCACCTTCCCAGGATGGGGCACCAAGTGACACCCCCCCCTTCCCCCCCAGGTTGCCCACTCCCTTAAGGATACCTGGCAGGACGAGGCTGTTTACAGGCTGCACTAATATTTAGGACCGGGGTTGGAGCCTGGGTTGTGCTGGGAATGAGAGTGACTTTAGGAGGGCTTGGTCACCCTCAGGGTTGGCAGTGATGAGGTGCTCCCATTCTCAGCACCCAGCAGCACCCCTTTGCATTTAGGAGAGAACCAGAAGTGGCAGATTTGGAAGCTGGGGAGGGTTGAGGCACACCAGGAGATGCTGGCAATTTGTGCATCAGGGGTCGTGAGGCTCAGGGGTCTCTGGCTATGGTATTTGCACCGAGCCTATGTTGGTATCTAGGATGTGAGCTGGGAAGGAGAGGACAAGGATGGCTCAGGACAGCCCTTCCACCATATCTGCCCAGGGAGCGGCGCTCAGTGGCTTGGGCTACCCCTTGTCTGTACTGCAGTGGACTTTGAAAACCACTAGTACAAGAGCATTTTGCACTATTTCTCCGCTCTCTCCCCCCTTCCCCTTTTCTCCACCTTCCCCATGAAAATTCGTTGCTGTTGGTTTCGTTTGGGTTTTTTTTTCTGTTTTGTTTTGTTGTTGTTGTTGATTTTTTTCCCCCGAATGGAGCATTATATATTTAAAGAACTGTCAGTTCACCTCGCTTCCAGACCGCTGTCCTGGCCCTGGCTAGGAGCCCTGCCTGCTTTGGCCCCCTCCCCAGCCCCACCAGCCACCGCCACTGCCATCGGGACAGATGTCACCAAGCACGTTACCCACCGTTGTAAAACAGTTGTTAAAACACACCAGATTCCGAGTTTCCTGCCTGGTTTTTATCTTTAAGCAATACTCACTACACATTTTACGGTAGCTTTTTATAGCTTTACATACATACGGTAGATCTGTTGTTTCGTTTTGGTTTTGTTGTTTTGTTTTGTTTTCCAGTAAACAAGAAATACTCATAATCTTACTGGTGGGAAAAAAAAAAAAAAGCAGTTTGTGAAAAACTGACAATGGAAGAAGAGCTTAATGCTCTGTTTAGCATTTTGTACTTAAAAAAAAAATCTCACATTTTATTAAAAAGTGAAGATTGCTGTATACTATTTATTCAACTTATAATTTATGTTACTCTTTGATCTTTGTCTTTTCTCATGACAAAGCATTTATTTAATAAAGTTATGCATTCAGTTAGCTCGTGCCTGACCCTCGTGGAGCATCTGTGTGCCCAGGCCTGCCAGTGAGCTGCTCCAGCCCTAAGCATCCCACGGTCACCTGTGTTGGGTCCCTTGGGGGCTCAGCCAGCTCCACAAGGGTGCTCAGGGAGGTACAGGGCATGGGGTAAAATGGTGGCAATGCTTTTTAGGGGGGCTTTTGATACTAGAACAATCTACTAGGTGACTGGTAAAAGTTGCAAGCTTAATTTTACGGCTTCCTGAAAGCAGAGCTACAATTTGTTGGTTTTTTGGTTTTTTTTAGCATTGTCTTTGTGTGGATGTGGCAGTGGAGCACAGCACACACGTTCAACCAGCTTACCAGGGTAAAGTACCTAGCAACCTGTGACGTTAAGCCCCTAAATGCTGTCTATCTCAAACTGAGCTCTACAGCTTGGGAGCAGACGTGCTATTTGAGTCTCAAACCTTTTGGGGCCGCTGGAAGATTTGCCCCAGCGTCCTTAACATCCCTGGAGCTGCTCAGCCCAGCCAGGCCGTGGTCCTCAAAAACTCTGTGCTAGCTCTCGGTGGCTCATCCCACTGCCCTCCCCGGTGCTGGATCTGAGCCTGCCCCACCGTCCAGGCAGCCATCACCCTTCATCCTTCCACTCCCCCCCGATCTCCCTCCTCCTGTGCCCCTCTTCCCCTCAATTCACCTGCCAGCATCACCCCATGCACCCAGAGCAGGGCGGGAGGTGAAATCATTCCCTCTGTCCCTACACTGAGGACCAGGGGGTTGCCAGGGCTGTGCCAACAACGCATTTCGCAGCCATCTTGCAGCACACGGAGCTGGCACAGCCACCCTGTCCCCGATGGACACGCCGTCCCCCCCGGACACCCCACACGGCCGAGCCCTCGGGCTGCACGGGAGGCGGGAGCCGCGCGGCGCCGCAGCCGCCACCAGGGGGCGCCATGCCCCGCCCGCCTTTCCCTCAGGGCCCGGCCGGCCGGGCAGGGCCGCGATGCTGCCGCTTCCAGCCGCAGAGGCC